AGGCAAAAGACTTTGCTGTGAGCCAGACAAGGCTATAGATTTAAACAAGCTGGTATTTGCCAGCTCATGTCCCCGTATCAAACTATGGAGAGACAAAGGAGCAGAAAAGGCAAAGAAAAGACTACTGATTCTATGATCCTGCTTCCTCCAGCTGTGAAATGCTTCTCATCTCCTTCCTGGAGAGCCAGACCAGCTCCTAAAACTGGGTGTTTGCTAAATCTAGCTCAGGTTCCTCGTCCCTGATTTTTCAAGGCAAGCTAATCAGTAATTTAACATTTTAGGGTATTTATTGGAAGTGGAGAAAAGATGAACTCACTCACTCATCTTTGCAGCCTCCCTTGTATTCCCCTCCTCAGTGCATTAGTTTTCTTTAGCAAATAAAATCACAAGTACAAAAAGTGTTCTCCTGCACTGTGTGCTTTTTCCTTAATAGCCATACTGCAGATTACAACTCTGAGAGAGATGCAATAACATCTGCGAGGCAGAGGGTAGCAATCATCCCCAGTTTACCTGGCGTCCATCATGCCTCAGACTGGCTATCATAGCTGGGACAGGGTCAGCTCCAGAAGAGCCCTAAGTGCACTTACAGAGGTTCAAGTGCTCTCTAGGCCTCTCGGGGCAAAGGAGGAATTAGCTGCTTGTTTTCTCCTTAGGATTTTTCTCTTTGGTCTTAGGCAAAAGGAAAGTACGGCCTTTTAAAATGCCTTGGGGTATCCACCCAGAGCTTGCTTTTACTGTAACTTGGAATTTATCATCTGTTTTTTCTTTTCTTATTCTTCAGAGGAAGCGTAGGGCTGTTATTAATGACCTGATACCTCTTCACCCTGGGGTGCTCACCTCCTGTTTTGTGGCAGGAGGAACACTTGCAGCTGATGAAAGGCTGAAAAGGTCCCTCTGGGCCAGCTTAAAGGCTCCTAGGTCTTCTATATAGAAAGATTTACTTTTGGGCTTTTGAAAAATGCCTCATTAGCAGTTGATGACTGAGCAGGGCCGATCTTGTTGTGAAAACCTACAGCTGCTCCTTGCCAGGAGCTCGGGGTGGCTCTTCTCGCCTGTCCCTTTCATTTCATGCCTCCAAGCACTTTCCCTTGTTGCTGGTCTGCAGCAGGCTAGCTGACTCTCTGCAGGTGGCCGCTCACTCACGTGATTACAGCGTGTGTGTACCATGCTGGCTGTGTCTGCGTGCTTTGCTATATGCTCCCGGTTTTAAGTGTCTTCCCAAGATGTGTTTTTAACCGTCCCTCTCCTTCCTGCCATTCTTCTTTCCCGACACTGCCGCATTTACCACTTGCCCCTTCTCGCTTACTACAGCCGCCTTCCTTTGCGCACACTTGCCTTTACCTTGCGTTGACTGATACTATGGCAAAACAGTAACTGCTGTGAAAAGATTGGAGCAGGTGTGCAAGTATTTCAGGAACCTTTTTGATTACCTTTGGATTTGCTCCCTTTTTTCTCTCACTGCCTACTGTGATATGACAGTGTCTCTTTCTAGGCAGCGTGTGAACTGTGAACTGTACTAGACGTTGGCATAAAGTGCAGCTTTCCTCCCATTTCTTCTGCAACTCGTTGATGTACCCGTTGGAACCAGCTCCGTGGTGTCTAAGCACGCTTTGCCTTTCAGTTAAAGTCCCTGTTATTATTACTGCCTTTCATTTTGTGCCTTTTCTTTAGCTGACTGCTTTCTCTGTGTTAGAAAGAATGACTAAGTGTTTTTATGGGTGCTTTGCTATGCCCCAAATAGGCAGCAGTCAGTGGAGAGAGAGAACCTGTATTGTCACTCGCTCCATGTGCTCCCCGGCACTCCTGTTTGCAGCACTCCCGCGGTGCAGCAGCACGTCTGTTGCCAGCTACGCTGCCTGCCATCTTCTCCTCTGGGAGTCTTTGTGAGGCTCCTATGTTTAGTTCTGCACTGGTGTTTACCTGGGCTGCCTCCAAGAACAACACAGAACTACTTCCTTTAGTCCCTAAAACTGACACAGAGAATGAAAATTACAGCAGGATTATTTTTAGTTCTATAAAACTGCAATTGAAGCAGCATTGCTAGAGTCTTCCTGGCCAGAATTTGCTGTTTCGAATTTTCCCTCAGGTGTGTAGTAGATGGTAGTTTAGAGAGCAGCTATGTGCCACTTCTTGGCACTTACGTTGCAGTTTTGGATTAGACCATCGATGCAGACGAATCTGAAGTCCAAGGTTAGTTTCCGCTGGATGTTCATCACGAAGCTGCTCAGTTACAGAGCAGGAAGAAAAGAGCAGATCAGAACTGAGATGCACTTGCCGAGCTGGGTGTGCACATGCAGCTCCTGAAGAGCAGAGCTGCTACAGTTTGAGACCGAGGTGGATGTGGCAGGGCTGGGGAGAGCTTGTGACTGCAATAGCAGGAAGAGCTGCAGCTCCTGCCTGAACTGTTTGCTGGGCTGTGTGTCACACCAGCAGGGACTGGAGAGAAAGCATCCTGACCGCTTTGTGTTCAGAAGTTCTGTAAACAACATGATACACCTGAGCATTTTTAAAGTGCAGGATATCCTATGTGGTATAACTAGTACCTTCAAGCTGTTTTTATCTGCCCTAGAAGCGCTAGAAGTGCTTCTTTGGGTTTTTCTATTCTTTGCTCCATTGTGCAACGTACTTTGTCAAATAACTTGTGAACTGTCAGTTCAGTTTTCCAGTTGAACAGCACTGCTTGTGTATCTGTTTACATCTGGGAAAAGCTGCAACAGCAGGGTTATTTCTTGGCCTGGCAGTTCTTCATTTACCTACTGCCCAGAGCCTGGAAATGAACAGCATGGAGTTCCTTGAGACACAACTATGGCACAGTATTAGCATGTGAAAGACAAACGAGAACTTTTATTGACCAGTACCATGATGTCTGTGGTAGCCCTCACATGGCCACCTGCCTACTTGTTGTTGTTGTTGATTCACTTTCAGTGATCTGGTACTCACAGTACCTCTCAGCAGCCTCTGTGATTTGAAAGGAAGGTAACTGCTTGTATTCTAGCCCCAGAAATGCAAGCGTTTACCCTACCTTCTTGATGTCAGCAACTTATGGCAGTGTTGTCCAGATGGCGCTCTCTTGGGATGCTTCCTTTCAATCTGCTGCCTCTTCCCTGGACAATGAGGCAGCAGTGATTTGGGTGGTGTGTGCTTTCTTCAAGTGCAAATGCCTCCCCTATATGTTCTCACAGTTCAGCGCTTCCTCTTGTAAAAGGAGGAGCAGAATTTCCTCCTAAACTGATTGCGGCCTAGCATAGAAATCTGGGAGCTTCCATGTGAAAGTAGCCACTGAGGTGGACTTCATAACCAAAATGCAACCCCAGCAGCTGTGGGAATCAGACATATCTTGTTTAGAATTGCAGAAATTCTACTACCTAGCTGTTATTACTTTTAGCGAAACCTATTCTGTCTCATTAAAATTCCAACGTAACTGTCTGTGTTTGGTTGTTCCAGTTCAGGACTTGATGGGCAAAGCTCACAGTAAGTAAATCTGATTCTGAATGAAATGGGGTAGACGTGAAGACGTCCCCGTGTTCTTCTTTGCAACCAGGTATTCTCTCCCTCTGGAGTGGCTGCCTGCTTGGAAATCTTACTCATCTACTTTGGCTAATCACCTCCTGGTCTTTACAAGCTGATACCAGTTCAAGCCTGCGTAACCTCTGGGAACTGAGCAGGCTTCCTCTGTATTGTCCCCAGTCTCTGCAGATCAGTCTTGTTTCGCAGAAATGATTTGGTATTCTGCTTTGATAAAGTATTTATCTGGCACAGTCAGGACTGGTTTGTTTACCTGATGTTATCTAGGTGCTCTAATTCCAGCTAGCAGTCTAAAGTTCACAGGAGGGAAGTCGATTTCAGGGAAATGACAAGTTTGCCTGGTCCTGATGAGTGTGAGGCATTCACAATAGGGTGCTCATCCAGCCACCAGGAACAAGCCCCAAAAGAAAAGCACTAAACAGTTTGTTTTTCTGGCTTTCTAGGATGAGATGGCCTCAAGTTTGGGCCTTACCACAAAGAAAGCCCTTACGATCCTGAGAGACCAGTTGTCAGCACTGCTGGAGGGGCATCAGAAGGAACGGAAAAAAATGACTTCCTGGAAGGTGAGACACCAAATAGCACAAGGTTGGGCGCTCAGTCTCCCCTTCTCAAAGTAAAGCTGAGGATTAACTGAAGGTTGGCTGCATTCCCTTCCAGACTGCTGCTGCAGAATTTTCAGCTGTAGAACTGCTAACGTCCTCGAGACCAAAGCAAGGAATTACCCAAGGGCGTACTTCTCTCAGCTCTGCTCTCCTGGAGGCTGGAGCTGTACAGGAGCGTAGCTTCAACTCTGAGAGACCTAAGGGCTTCAACAGGCTGCAACTGCATTTGAAAAGTGGTCTTGATAGCAGAAGGACCTTGAGCCACTAGTGGCAATGTGCGTTGGGGGTCCATATCAGGTGGAGAGAAAGAGCTGTGGAGTTCATCACAGTCTCCCCTTGCTCCACCATATTTGACTGGCTTGTGAATACAAAGTGCTAGTGTTTATTCACAGTAATTAAATGTTAAATATCTTCCTCTCTGGGTTGGTGACAATAGGGCAACCTGGCACAGAAGCCTTTTCATTCTTCCAAGCCAGAGTAAAGCAGAAGTGTTCACCCAGACTCCCCAGCTGAGGAACCATTAGCGCTCGGCTAACTGATCTGGGAAGCTCTGTATCATTTGGAGAGGTTTTGCAAAGTTGTGCTAGCTGCTGCCCTCACCCTTTTGCACTCAGCTTTTTTAAAGGCCTGTCTCTGTATTTCCTGAACGTTGATTCTCTGCTGCTCTCCTGTTGTAGGAGGTGTGGAGGAGCAGTTTTCTGTACCATGGTAACCGTTGCTCCTGTTTCCACTGGCCTGGTGCATCTCTGATGCTTCTGGCAGTGCTGTTGCTGCTCTGCTGCTATGGAAGTCAGCCACAGGGGAGGTAAGCAAAACATCCTTTGCTGGTTGACTGAAACAAGGTGGTAGTTTTATATCCTCCCAGCACTGTGCGTGGCTGACTTATCAGTGTTGTCCCTAATTCTGTCTCGGCATTACCATATCGTACTGATACTTTATCCCTATCAGTCGCTCTCACAAAACTTCAGCAAACTTAATGGACCCATAGAGTGTTCTAGGGAGAGAATGAGAATGAGATTTTCTTCCTACAGTGTCCCTAGATCTTACAAAATTGTAGGGTATTAGAATAGTCAGGAAGGATTTTGATACTGAATTGGAGAAGTTTGTGGTTCATTGGAGAAGGAACTGTGCTGTCACATGAGCCATAGCTTGCCTTGATTGTTTTCTGTAAGGGTATTTTTGACTTGAGACAGGTTCTTTGGAACTTCTCTGGTGGCATTATCCTAAAGAAGAAGCATGATCATAGCTCCCCTGCTCTTCTTTTTTAGACGTAAGTCTATGGGATATAAGAATGAACAACTGAGCAGGTGTTTAGGCAGTTTAGGCAACTGAGCTAGGCATTTATCTCTAAGGGTGGCTGGCAGTGTATTATGCTCATTTACTCAAACGTCATCTGCTTTCTGGTTTCTTTTCTTCTGCTGTGCAAAGCCAAGGTGCCGAGATAGTTAATGCACTGGCACTCTTCCTCCTTCTCCTCTTGGATCTCCTCATGGTTGGGCGTCAAGAGAGGCTGAAGTGCAGAGAGGTGGAGAGGAGACTTCAGACAATTATTGATAAGATAAATGGTGAGGTCTTATTCATTTATCTCTCATTTGCATTTTGGGTTTTCTCCCCTGTTGGATTTTTCTCTAAACCTGATCACATATGTTACCAACTGAGTTTACTAGTCTTGCCCTATGTTACACTGAAACAGGCTGTGAGAATTGTGCTCTACTCACGCCTGTCCTTCAGAATAGTTATTTTGAGCTGTCATGTGGCCATGTGCTTCCAATCTGTATGTTAACAGGTAGGCGTCTGTTATGCCTGTGCTTTGGAGTAATTTGAATCCTGAGTGTCTTGCAAAAATATCTGCCTTCCAGCAGATGAGGAGCGAAGAATACGTGGGGTTGTCCCACAACATAGAACAGAAGGAAATAAATTGCTGGGCTTGAGCATCTTCTCAGTAGGGACTTGTGAACCTGAGGAGGCAGTTCATTTCAGTGTGGCAGTTTTAAGGACAGCCTTTAGCCTTTCCATTGTACAAGTATGTATTTAAGGCTATAAAATTACTATGTTTAGTTATTTATACAGGGTAGAGAAAGAGGGGAAAAGCCATTAAGGAGAAACAGAGAAATTGTAGGTGATCGTGGGAATGGACTGATATTAGCACTGGAGGGCGCATAGCCACTCTAGGTTGTAAATCCATATGGAATTGGCCCTTGGCCCCTCCAGAACTGTTATCATTTAATTCTTTCATACTATGTGCTTTCAGATGCACTTGGCAAAGAGGTGAAATGGCCAGACTCCATGTACCCTGATCTTCACATGCCTTATGCCCCATCCTGGTCCCTTCATTGGGCCTACAGGGATGGTCATCTTGTCAATCTGCCTGTGAGCCTGTTAGTAGAAGGAGATGTCATTGCTTTGAGGCCAGGACAGGAGTCATTTGCTTCTCTGAGAGGGATTAAGGTAACTCACTTGTCTTATTTCCCTGGCCTGTGACAATGAAATATATATTTCCCAGCATTTTCTTGCTACTACTCTAATTTCCAGTGTACAGCTGACTGGTGTGATCGATTTCTTACG